TCAGAAAAAGTTATTTTATCCCTTTCACAAAATTGTTATGTATTTTAAATCATGACACAAAACACCAATACCTGTGTTTAGAGAGTTAGTACCTGTGCAGTGTTGGGCAAAAAGCACTTATTATGATTAGTGAAGCGAATGAAATTTATTTGCGAGTATAAATTTTTGGTATTATGATTGACGAATTCGCCTAAATTTTAGGTAAATGAGCTGTCAAATCTTTCGAATCAAAATTCTGTAGGACAAGCTTGACGAATGAAACCAAAAATCAAAATAATAAATAAATGTTTTTTTTTAATTGGCTATTATTGCATTTATAGTGATATAATGGAAAAATCTAAGCTATCTCTACAAATTATTGTAAAAAAAATATTGATTGTTTAATATTAATTTAAGCGTGAAAAAAACGAACCAAAAACAATTCGAGCATTTAATTAAATTAATGGAGACCAACCCCGTAATTGCTAAAGATGGAAAATTCAATTGTTTTTGTAAAAAAGCAAAAAGGATGTGCATATGTGTGATGGTAACCTTATTAATTTAGATAGGTTTTTTGATATCCTGCGGTAGCAACATTGTGTATCTGGCTAATGAAAGCATTCGCAGATCATAATTTAAACTGCCATTCGATTCGCCTAGTCCATTCAACTCGCCTAGCCAGCCATTCGCTTCGCCGATCATAATAAAAGTACTCGTATATATATTATATTCTTAAAATGTAAAGAAAATAATATGTGCCTGGTGGGAGAAAAAGATATTATAATATTTAATGCTTAGTTGTCAAAAGACCATTGAATTTTTGGAAAAAAAAAGAGTTCTTACATAATATGTATTGTATTATCAGTGACCTACTTGCCTAGAAAACGGTTCGAGAAGAAAAATTTTTTGATTTTTTAGTCTTGACTCGTTGCTTGGATTACGTTATCCATCTGTTCTGCAGTTGTATGAAGGAAGTTCCCTTAATTTTTATTATAAGTGATTTTAAGTAGGTACATATATCTAATTATTATCCAATTTATTTAAGAAAATTCTAATTATTTAACTGAATAAATTCGAAGAATATTTTAAAGCTAAAAACCATCCACAGAAACGTATCATATTTGCGGTTTTGAACCGAATGATCATATTAGAATTATAATATTCAATAAAAACTTGCCCAAAATAGTGAATTCAAGTATTTTAAGAAATGCGTTTTAAACAAGAAATTTTTCAGAGTTTTTGAAAATTTTTCATATTAAAATACTTTTTGCTGTAAATTTGAGTTTTGTATATTTGAAATTTCAAACGATGACTATTCAGCACAATATTGAAAAAATATGAAAATATTTAAACTTTTAATTTATCAAGTAAATTATTTCTTTTAAGTCTTAAAGAATAATTACTAAGATTAAAGCTTATAAAATGTACCAAGTTATTAAAAAAATATTATTTCTTTATAACGTTTAGGAAAATATAAAAAACTTTTTTTTCCCAAAGTTGTTACTCCATAAATTTTTTTATTTAATTTAATCATTAACCAGCGTTGATGTCATACAATTTCACTTCAATACAATCGATGAATAAATTCAATTACCTTTGAATGATGTGGGTGCACAAATTGAGATGCGTCAGTAAATTATATTGCGCATAACGCAACATAGCACACAATAAAATCTAAAAAAATTTAAAAAAAAATGCGTCAGTTAATTTCATTTGTCTATTCGTTTGTTCGTTTATCTGTCTGTAAACAAAACTTCTATAAGATTTAAGTTAAGAAAAATTCAATTTTTTATAATAGTGAAGGCATTATTTTTCTAGGATCAAATTTTGTTGTTTTCCTCTACCCCAAATTATAGCTCACCAATGTATAGTGAAACTACAAGTTTTGATAAACTTCATCCAAATCAAAAGCAAATTAAATTTACAAATCTTAATAAACGCAGAATAGCCGTGAATCGATTACTCTATCATGAAAGACCGTAAAGAAATGTCAGATTTTCGACTTTGTAACCTTGGTTTTGATTATACAGTTTTTCAAACTGGTGTTTCGTAGCAATTTTTCTTCTAAATTTCTTTTTCACCAAAACAACATCTTGACAACCAAGAATCTGAATTTCTCACTCGCCTTTGGTACTGTGTATATAGGTTCTAACATAAGAGTGTTATTTCCTTTAATTCCACCTACAAGTACAAAATTAAAAGCCATGAGTTTGATCAACGTATTAAGTTGTTGATATTGTCTATAAAGTTCTTTAAAGGAAGCGAAGTACATTGGATGAGAATCAGTACTTTGCATGAGTGATTCGTCTTTAAAAATTTTTCAAAAATTATTTAAATTCTTTTTGTGTTATCCTTGTTTTTTATTGCTTTTGATGAATGATATGGGAATTTGTTTTTTTTTAAGGATTATTCTAAATTAAGAAGATAATTTTACTTTTTTCATCCATTTCGTTCTTTATTCTTTTCATTACTTTTATTTCAAGTAATTTAAAGAGAAAATTTAACTTTCAAAACCATTATCCATCTTGCGAGAATATGTTTGTTTTGAGCTTTTATTTTTATAAAATTTCACTCAACTTATTAAAGTTTTTTGTTTTTGTTTTGTGTTCTTCTATTTTACTTTTATGATTGGTGAAAGTCATTTTAAGTATAAAAATGTTTGATCTTTTAAAACGTGTTCAAGGCTATCCCATTATAACTAAAAAATATATGCAGTATGCGGTATAATCTTATATTAAATTTTCTTTTTTTATATTTTCTGTTTTTATATCCCTGTTTTTGCAATAGAACACAATTCTTTTAACACAGATAATCTTTAAAATAAACCGAAATATATGCAATCTTATAGAAGATAATATATGTATACTAAATCATAATAATAAGAAATGTTGTTGCGTAACAGAATCCCTGCAATTCAAGACAAATTAAAGTAAAAGTTCTCATGTAAAGTTTATGGAATAAAATTTTTATAAGAAAGTAAAAGAAAATGAAATAATGACAAAGACAGCGAGGTGTCATGAAAATATTTCTCGGGCGATAAGTTCAGACGATGTATTTTTTTTTAAATCCAATGATTTAGTCTATGATGTGGTTGCTAAACAACAACAACATTATAATGTAGTCGCTTTTGCTAAACAACAACAATAATATAATATTGTTTATGAGTTTGCGACCAATTTTACATATGAAGAAACTGTGAAAGCATACTAGTCTGGACTATACAAATGTAAAAAATTACCGGAAAATGCAGTTTGAGCGATTGCATTTCAAATGTTATTTCAGCAATCGATAAATTTTACTCTTATGTATTTTATTCTTTTAGCATAACTTAAGGTTTTTCCCCATGAAATTTTGAAAATCATTATCAAAAGTTTCAGAAAATTTCAATTCAATTTGTGAGTTGAATTAATAATGCAAACGGAGACAGCTGATGCCCGAAATAAATTCATAATGTTATTTTTTCTATGCAATATTTTTAGATTTTACACCTTGCATTAGTTAGCACTATTTACACTTGATATAAATTTTTATAAAAAATTTACATGGAAAAATGCATCATAACTTCTGATTATATTAATTGAGTTGTAAATGACATTATACAATTTAAATAAGATTGCAACAAAGTTTTTTTTATAATTTGCCATAATGTTTAGGAGTGTTTATTCAGTATTAGTTTACAAATTGCAAAGAATAAGTGAATGTGTAGAATATATTGTGGGTTATAAAGGAAATTATTGAAATATTGAAAATTTTAAAAAGATATTTGCCTTTCTTAATGGAGGTTTAGATATAACATCTAGCCATATTGTTGGTTTTACCGTAACATATTGTGTTGTGGAAAGAGTTACAAATTAATTTGCCATTGAAAACACTAATCATCAAACCGTCATTTAATCGTTATTCAATTAAACCAATAGTTTTTAAAATAGTAGTTGTTAAACAAATTTGGAAAATAGAAAAAAGCTAATTCGTTTAATCCCTATATTTGGAAAACATATTTTATAAAAAATAAAATAAGAACGATAAAATACGATATCATAATTTATTTACTGTTAACAGTTAAAGTATGAATCATACTTTGAAGCCTATAAAAATCTAATAAAAAATTAAATTAAAATATTTTTCTTGTATTATGAAATATAGAATTTTTATGGCAAGGAAACTTAATTTGCTATAAATGGAATATCAACTATATAACACAAACATATTCAAAGATCTTTGAGGATATACGAGTTTCTGAAAAAAAATATTCCATTTCTTTTTATACACCTGCAGTCATAATTTTGTTGGATTGTACGGTTTTAGTTAATATTAGAACTTCGTTGTCTGCAAAGATATATGAGAAAATCCTTTTAATTTAAACGATACGTATAAGGAAATGAAATATGATACCTACTGTTGAAAATTTCATATTAGATTTTTTATTAAAACATACATACATATGTATTAAAGGAATGTAAACTTTCTTGGATTCTTAACTTTGATCTCAAAAATGTGGTGAAAAATAATTTAAAAAAAAAAGAGTGTAAGAATTTAGATAAATTAATTTTTAGTGATGAATCTATTATTTGTTAACTGACGAATGGGCAAAGCCGTAATACTATTAGAACACAGGTCATGCGAATTACGACCTGATTACAATCAAAAGCTTGACTAATGAAATCAGTACATTAATATCAGTGTATTCCTAACTTACTGAAAATTATTGCTTTCAATAGTTGTCGACTGTCGGCAAATTTTTGGAGGAGCAAAAGTTTTCTTAAGATAGATTCGTTTCGAATTATTTATTGCACATATTATTACAATTAAGCTTCAAATGTTTATTTGAAATTCTTTTATTTAAAAGTGTATTATATGTTGTGTTTGCATAATAATTAATGAAATTGCTAATTACATGATTTAAGCTTATGGTTGATTAAAATACATATTTTTATCTGATTGCAATTTCTTTAAAGCATTTTCTCTACAAATTAAAAATATTATATTATAATTACATTAAATTTTATTTTCATATATTTTAGTAACGTTCCTCCATCTGTGTCAGTAATTTTAAATGGCGAAGAACCACAATTTACGGATGCAGTTGGTCAACCAATTCCAAAGCCTCAAATACCTCTACAAGTAGCTTCACCAATTAATTTACTGAATCCAGATCGATATGAATTTTATACTTTTGATGATAATGGCCAATTAGTAAAACGTTTGATGACAATAAAGGAAATTCAAAGTATTGTTGCCAATGGAGATGGAGAAGGTGCAACTGTGCTTCATAATTCAGAAATTGATGAGAGTGACCCAGAAAAAAATGTGCAAGATATTGTTGCTAGTGTTCAGCATGTTCTGCATAAACAGGTTGAAGAAAATAAGAATTCCTCGGAACAGCAACAACAAAGTATAATGCTAGATACACCTGATGTTTCTTCGTCATGGTCAATGATACTTCCAGCTATTTTTGGTAATACAGGTGGCGATATATTTCCACAAAATCGACCACAACAAGTTGTAATGACACCAGATTCAGACGTTGTTGAGCCTACTAAGCCATCAAAACGAAAACAGAAACCAAAACCAACCAAGCGAAAAACGACAACGACAACTGAAATACCTTCCTCCTCCTCCTCTCTGGAAAATGTAAACGAAGTGCCTGCATCAATCGCAATGGAAAATATTAAGCCATTATTCAATAGAAATGAAATGAAAACTGAATCTTCATCGACAGACAGCACTAAAACTTCAATAACAACTCAAAAAACGACCACCACATCAATATCTAGTACTTCAACAAAACGTAAAACTAAACCCAAACCTACGAAAACTCAAAATGTTCAAATTAATGAAACAACAACAAAAAAATCTAGTTCTAAAAGAAAGCCTACGACTACAAGAGAACCAACAGTAGTAACGACCAAAGATAGTGCAGTCACAATTCCCACGACCAAAAAGGCGACCACTAAACGTAAACATACTACCAAAACACCCTCCACTGTTACATTAGAATCAGCTGTATTAAACTCTCAACAACCAATAAATAAACATAAGACAAATGCGACTAGACTTCCTACAGTTTCTAATATGTCTCCAGGGAATAAATTAACTCAAACAGCACCAACAAAATCTCAAACTAAACGTAAACCTACTAAAACAACCTTGCGTCCAACATCCTCAAGTATTAGCATAACTAAATCTCAGCATTCAACAAGTGTTTCCGTTAGCTCAACTACATCCCATACCACTCAAAAAATTCAACCATCTTCGCTTAAAAAGAAAATACCAACAACAACCACTCTCCCAGTTGCTTATTCAGTATTATCAACAACTCCAAAAAAGAAAACCGTAACAAAAACTACAACTGCAGCAAATACTACAAAGAGAAATAAAAACAAAAATAAAATATCAACTACAGTGTCTCCCAATTTAGGTTCTCAATTCAATGACAGCCCTACAAAAGTAGTGAGTGACGTATCTCAAGCCATTAAATCAAAACCCACTGAAAAAATTTCAATTACATCGACAAGCACAAGTAATAACTTACCAGACACAAATGAAATACGTCAACCTTCATCATCAACTCCTTCCATATCTTATGATATGTTAAGTGGACAAGATGCCGCCACAACTTTAAGTTTAAACGCAATAATGAATTCCCTCACTCAACCTCAAAATGATATAAAAACACAATTATTGCTTGACAAATTAATGGATAGCTTAAAGGATGATGCCGCATTGGACCAGCAAATAAAAAATTTAACAAATAATAACGATATGGTAACTACAACTCATAAAGTTAGTCCAACTTCATCAACTCCAATGTCCGAATTTGAAACTACGACATTTAATTTCAAAGAAGAAACTACACCATATAGTGACGACCTGTATAAGGAGAAATCTAAAGACTCTACGACTATTTTACCAATATCATTAAATGAAAGTCTTGTTGAATTGCAAAATGGGGAAAATATTGTAAGAATCGAACCATTATTTGCGGAACTTCTAGATCCAATTCTGACAGATTTAACAACAACCGAAAATCCAGATTTAACCACTACTGAAAATATTTTGGGGTCAGATACAACCTCATATGAGTCACCTGAATACACAGAGTCCATTCAAGAAAATGATGCAACACGATTCGAAAATGTTAATAATTATGTTGAATCATCAACAGGGTCAAGTGAATTTTCGCAAAAGGTTGACGAATTTATAAATGAAAATCTGGACACAGCTGAGACTGGTGTACCAATCAAAGAATTCACTAATAAGTTATCAGACTCCCAAACTCTTACCCATTCTGATTCTAAATACGCTATGTCTGATTTCATTAAGGATGCTGCAACAGTTGCTTCAATTTTAGAAGATAATACTAAAAAACCTATTTTAGAGACAAGTAGCAGCAACGAGTTTAATAATTCGGAAGAAATTAAATCTCTTTTAACGGATGTTATTTCTCAAATGACAAATAATCCAACAATGACACGAACACCTTCAACATCAAAACCTATCAATTTTACAAGTCCAATATTTTACGCAAATCAACCACTAAATCAAAAGCAATCTTATATACAAAATAATAAGAATTCACTTAATATGGCTTTAGCATTAGAATCGGAAACAAATGAGCCACCGTCACAAGAATTAACCCCACAATCAAATTCCAATGACAAATTTCATGAAATGGAAACACTATCCTTGCAATTGAATAAACTGAGCAACGAAAGTAGAGAAAACTTCGATGAAAATATACATGATATGAATAATAATAACAAATTGCAAACAATTTCAACAACATCAATGGAAAATTCTGCCTTGAATGATGATGAAAATGACTCTGAGATTGATGTTGCAAATGATGCTAATAATTTAGATAACATTAAATTTCCAAATATAAAAAATACCACTTCTGATACAGTTACAGAAAATACTTTTAGTGAAAAATCTAAGGAGAATATAAATAAACCGTCAGATTTTACAAAACCAGATATTTTGTTGAGCACTCCAGTCACCACAAAGGATGATACAATTCTTATAACAACTCTTATGGCATCAATGGCTGCAGGTTCAGTTATGGCAACAACATCACCAATACCATTTGAAAATACTCAAATATCTGATAATATAACTGAAGCGTTCACTAATAAGGATAATCTTAACTCTTTAGAAATTTCGCAGCAAGATGCAAGTTTATTTAGCAAAGAAAAAGACATGACAACGGTACCAAGCTTTACGTTAGATGAAAATAGTTCTACAAGTACTGAAGTGGATAATAATAATAGTAGTGAAAGCAATATTAATGAAGAAGATAATAATGAGGGAGATGACGTTCCGACACAAAGTAATAGTTCAATAGAAGATAAAACTACAATGATGTTATCTCAAGATAATAATGTTAACATATTGCAAGAAACCACAGAGTTACCATTACATGTAACAACTATCTTTTATAGTGATGAAAGTACTGATTCATCAACAGAAACCAAAAATATATTGAAAGAACAAGATGATAAAGATGATAAAAGTCACGAAACGAATATTGACGAAAATATTACAATGAGACCCTCCACGTATTATAACGAAAGTGATGAAGATGTTATGATGAATAAAAGCAGCCCTGACGAAAGTGATGAGTCTTTAGAATATTCTAATGAAATGTCAACTATTAAAGTGGCTGATAATGATAGCATAGAAGCATCACTTGAATCTATAACTATAGCTGAAAATTTAGATGATGATAGTTCAGAAGTGTCAACAACTATTGAAAATAAAACGGAAAAAAATTCTGAAATAAATGATTTACTATCCAACACAATGATCCATATGGTATCACAGACACCAATAAAACCAACACTAGCGCAGAAACATTCAGAAACTGAAGAATCGTATGTGAAACTTGGTGAATCAACAAAACCTATGGAGGAAAAAGTTCAGGTAACCGAAAACCCAGAGCATAAACCATTAACAAATGATGCAGAATACAATAAATATGATAACATCATCCAGTCAACAACAAAACGTGTTCCAAGTACCTTGAAACCAGTTCATTATTTCAAACCTCCAATCACATCAACATCAGATCAAAAACACACATTGTATAATGCAACTCAACAACGACCTATTATAAGACCACCAGCTTTGAGTAATTTGAAAGTAACGCAACTAAGTCAAGTTACCCGACCTCCAGTGAAATTGGATCCAACACCAGAAAAATCACTTGGGTTAGAAGCAAGTGTAATGGATTTACAAGAAGATATTCAAGAATTTGCACGGCTATGTAATGAATTAGCTTTCAGTTACTGGAGATCCATAACATCTGAGAAAATCAGTTCTGCAAGAAGCCTTGTAATTTCACCGTTTGCCTTAACTTCGATGTTGTCTATGGTATTTTTAGGTGCACGGGGTAGTACTTCTGGAGAAATGAATGAAATTTTACGTCTTGATGACATGGTGACATTTAATCCCCATTTAGTTTTTAAAAATATAACAGAATCAGTTGAACGTGCTAAAGATAGTGGAATTGCTTCAAGTGCTTTTGTTCGTGAGCTTTTCAGTGATCGAAATAATGGGAAAATTTTACAATTCTTTAAAGACAAAGTACATCAATTCTATTCTGGTCATGTTGAAGAAGTGAACTTCAATGTTGTTAATGATATTATCCGTAGGAGAACAAATCTTTTAATAAAAAGACATGCCAATGGAAAAGTAATGGAATATCTTAGAACAAATAGCGTTTGGGTAAATGGACCTTTATCAACAGTCTCAGCTAATTTATTCCAAACTGATTGCTCTAAAGCATCAACAATTGATAGAGATGGAGAAATGTTTTTCCAAGTTAGTCCATCTGTTCGTCAAAGAAGGCTGATTCCTATTCCAGCAGTTGTTTACAGGAATGGTTTTACTGCTGGTTATGATTCTGAACTAGACGCAACTGCAGTTGCATTCGGTAGTGCAGATGAAACTGTAAGTACAATTTATGTAATGCCAGGTCAACACGGACTTGCTATGCCTGGTGATAATTTAGAACATTTGGAAAAAAATTTAATGACAAATGGAATTTCAAAAAATGCATGGACTCATTTATTAACTTCGTTAATGGAACGACCTGGATTAGAAATACAATTGCCGAGATTTTCACATAGATCATTCATAAATGCTTCCTTAGGATTACAAAAATTGGGGCTAAAGGCATTATTTAATTCAGATGAAGCAGATTTAAGAGGATTAACTGGATCATCACAAAAAGATATTCACTTGGCTGATATGATTCAAATAAATACATTTAGTACATGCGGTGAAGAAAAAATATCTGATCATCATCATATAGAAATGTATCCAGCTCCACCTTTACGTAAACGTAATTCTGATTTATCAGAATATGATTCAGATGATCAAGCTGCATTATCTGAAATGCACATTGATTTTGGATCAATTGTGCAAGATGCTGGACGTAGTTTATATGATGATTTATTAGATCCAAAATATTTAGAAGTTCCATTGCCATTAAGACCAAGGCAAGCCAGAATTCCAGATTCTCCACGGTTACGGCTTGATAAACCATTTATATATTTTGTTAGGCATAATCCAACTGGTATGATATTATTTATGGGCAGATTTAATCCACGATTACTACCGTAAAATTGAAGATTATTATATTAGGTTAGAAATTATAATATTTGTATTTAGTTTACGAAAACCTATTTTTAACTTTTACTTAGATAAAACTTAAAATGAAAACAAATAAATTTAAATTAAGTAAAAATAAGCTCAACTACTTATTCAATTAAAATTATCAATCAAATTTATGGAAGCTTAAATTATATGATAGGGACAGTATTACCCTCAAGGACTGATAAAATGTAAATAAGTTTCTACTTTTTCAATTTGTTCCGTTATTGTAGTATTATAAGTTTTATAGTTCTACTGCAATAAAATTATATCAAAGTAATGTTATAAATTTCAAAACCGATTTACGATAAACAAACAGACAGTTCAGACCATATTATGTTTATAAAATGTGGTCAAGGTGGTGTAACTAATTTAAAAATGTTCTCAATTCAATAAGGTCTAATTATAATATTTTTAAAGTTTTTAGCAATTTTCCAAAAATTTTTTGAAAAACAGTGCTTATTAGTTTCACTCTGTCCGTCCGTGGACATGTTTACAAAACTTCTACACCCTTGAAGATAGAAAGCTGAAATTAAATACGTACATGGATCTTTACTAGAAACTTATTTCCGTAGAACAAAATTTTTACCTATCTCCCCCCCTCTAGAAGTTATACCCCCCCAAAACCATTTGAATTTTTGACGCTTTACATTTTCGAAACCGCAAGTTTTTTCAAATTTCTATAAACGCAAAAAGCTAACGGTAAATTCCATGACATTAAAAAATATAATTATTTTTCATAACTCACGCAATTAACCCTTAAAAACGAGCATTAAGTTAACCCCACTTTGTATTAATTTTTGCTTTATTTGAAATACTGCATAAATCGTTCATCCTAAATATATGCAATCCTAGTTTCCTATGAATGAAAATAATTTTAATAGTGTGGTGGATATAAATAGACTGTATATTTTAAAAGCAGTATTTTCACTTGTTGAAGTGAAAAGTGCTGGAATACAAACCATTGGTTTGACCCAACTTTATTACCTTAAATTTCAATTCTTCATATAACTTTTATTTTGAAAACCATTTAATTACATTTATTAAATTTATATAAACAAAAATAAAAACTTAAAAAAGAAGGAGAGTTAAATATATGATATTTATTCAAAAATAGTTAATTTTGTCCAACTGGATGATAAACAGGTCAGCATTTTTATTTGCAAACGCAATGTATATTCGCATAATAAAAGTAATAATTAAGGTTTATTTTTAAAACTGACCTGAAAATAAAGTAAAGCTGAATAAAATTTGTTTATTTTTATTTTATCTCATTCTTGATTTACTTTGATAAATTTTTTTCGGAATACGTATTCGTAAATATTAATCTACATTTAAATATATCTATCATATCATTTTTAATTGATGATTGTAATAAAAGAAAAATAAGTGATATTTGCACGACGGTTGTTGTAATGAATGAATATTTTAATAATTTTAACTTGTGCTTTTATGTCGTTGCAACATTTAATTTAATAATGTCCCAGAATATTGTTACATTTCATAAATTTATTAGCGGTGTTATTCGGCTCCAAAAAAATTTTCTTTTTCGTTTTTTAAAATCACAACAAATTCAAAATTATTTGGAATAGGAAAAATAATGACTATCGAATTTTTAGATATAGATTATATCAGGCTACTAGTTTATTCTCGATATAAGATTCATAATTTTCGGAAAGAAGACTATTTCTGTTACATTTTTAACTTGCATAATTGCAATCTAGAAGAAATGAAAAACGCAACATTAACAAATTTTGAGAGATAAGAGGGTGAGAAATTAAAAAGATATTTTAATTTTATAAAATCATAAATTTGACTGCTAAAATTTTACACACATCTAAGTTGCAGAAAATTAAAAATTGTCTTTAGTTTGGTTTTATAGACATGATAAATTGTTAAAGAAAGCTTTCCAACTCGGAAAATTCTATATTTTTCTTTAGACTTGTACAAAAGCCACATCTTTTTTTCAAAACTTTTTTCAAAATACAATATTTTGTAAAAATGTTTTCAAATTCATTAAAATTTTTAAATTGATAGTATAAATATTAAAACTGATGAGTCGAAAAGGTTAATACGCAAAACTAAAAGATTCACTGAAAAATATTTGCTACAGCAAAGAAAAGTAATAAAACAATATTTTGTTCGTTTAAAAAAACAGATTCATTCAAATAATAAAACAATAACAAAAAAAACAGAACAGTAAAGGATACGTTGAGATTGAAGTAATTTTTTGTCATTCTCATTTTAATTTTTTGATTATTAAATATTTTTCATATTAATTTTTCCCTCCTTTTATTGTTGTTTTAATTATTTTAAATAAAAATACAATTTATTCTGTATTTTATCATATTTCGATTTTAATAATGCAGACTTTAAAATATGATGTTTACATTTACACTACTAGATAAAAGAAAAAGAACAGATTTCAAAATAATTTATAAATAATTTTATTAGAACAATACCAAATATTTTCAATCCGAGTTTTGAGTAGAGTTAGAACTAGTTAAAAATTTCTTCAGGCCATAGAAAATTATTTTCCTTTTTATTGTCTTTCTTAAAAATTTTGAATGTTATATACTGCTTTCACATAAAAGAATATTTAATGACATTACTATATGATATATTTTAAGACATTACACTACTACTAAAAGAATTTTCCCTGTGTGAAGTCGCAGGTAGCCCAAGATTTCTTTTGATTGCATTCACTGATTTCACATATACTATGTTACATACGGTGTAAATCCAATAATTTGCAAATTCCCTATATTAATTAATGAAAACCTATTCATTTGGACATTAATGTACTTTTTAAAAATGGAATAGTTTCATCAAGATATTGTAATTAATGAGCGTATAAATATTGGAAAAAATATTTATTCTTTTTTTATGACAATATTTTTACTCTGATATAGACATATCTGCTTTCTTTAATTGAATGTGTATTTAAATCATAAAGTTTAATTTATGATGTTAAATAAATCTGTAAAAATACGAGAATGAAACTTTCGAAAATATTAAAATTTGATTTAAAAAAATATATCAGTGTACATTTACACAAATTTTTATATTATTACATACGTACATATATTAATACAGATACGTCATATCTACTTTGACATCATTCGGAAGAGATCTTAATTTTTCCATGTTGAATCAATATAAAATGGTGACTGAATACGAATACGAGAAATTGGATTTTTCATATTTTCATTTATACTTCCTTTTGCTTTTATTATTATTTTATTAAAAAAATATCCGAAATAAGTTATAAGTCACCATATTTAAAAAATTAAAAATTATCAATTGTTTTCAATAAATTATTAAAAATTTAAAATATTTCACTGTTTTGTATGTGTTTATTAAATTATTTTTGTAATGGTAATCTTTAATTATAATGCTGTGAGAATCTGAAGATTTCGGAAGATAAGATGTGACTTATGACTGTTCTCTTTTTGTATTTAAATTTTTAATTATTCTTAATGATAACTTAAAGTATCTACTTCCACATTATTATAAATAAATTTTATTATATCATAAATTTATTACATATAAATATTCGCAAGTTACAGCAGTAAAAATTCATGCAGTAATTTACCAATATTTATATGTTATCATGAAGCCAATAAAAATATGTACATATACCAACTTACGGCTTAAAGAGAAATTTCATATGCTTCAAAATGAGTAGAACGAGCTAATTTCGTCTGCCATATTATCGAGTTATAAATAAGGAGTGTAAGAATTTGGGGGTTTTTCCAAACTTTAAATCATCGTCATTTAAATTTAGCCTCATAAATCAAAAAAGAGGACAAAACAGAACAATAATACTTGATTTTTTCTGTTATTCTATATGCATTCATGCAATTTGCTTCAGGATTTCCATCGTCCGAAATACAATCGTTTTTCGAACACCATGCACATCCTCTCCGAATACCTTTATCTTAATAGTCTAAATATATGCACTTATATACCATTAAAATTTAATAACAACGTATCATAACTCATCGATATTACAGTTTAAGGCTTTCCTGTTTTATATTTTTAATTTAAATGTGAAGCATATTAATAATAAAGTCAAAGTCTCTGAAAACTACTGAGAGGATATACTTTATTAGATTAAATTTTCTAATCAAATATTGAATGTTTACGGTAATCAGAAAAGTAACAATAAATGTACAATCAAGATACTAATTAAAGCTGGAACCTATCATGGGTCTTAAATAAGCATTTGTACTGCAATCGTAAAAAGTCACATCCTAAATATATGCAATTTTTTCGTTACAGCGGTAAAGCAGTAGTATTACCGGTAAAAATATAATTGAAGTGTTATACTCGTAGTTATGCCATAATATAAATACTACATAAGTATGCAAATGAGATATGGTTTCAGTTTACACTAAGCAAAGCGTGAATAATTATGTAATTTTTAATTAATGGAGCATTTCCATAAAGAAAAATAAATAAAGTTCGAACGTACGAATACTTTTTCTTTGTAATTAATATTAGTATCTAACTCCAGAATGAATTTCAAACATTGTACTAAAATCTGCATTTCGTTCAATAATTAATGTGCTGCCAGAAAAATATTTTCAAAAATTAGAACGTTCTTTCGTATACTTATATTAAAAACTAAGGCGGCAAACTAAATTTGAAAAAATAAGAAAGTGTCATTGCAGTTTTGCAGTTTTAATTTTACAATCACTTGAACTTTTCACTTACTTGGATAAATTAGAAATGCAAGCACAAGGAACTGTTTAAATTTTGTTTATAAAAAAATTTTTAAAATTAGTTTTACCAATATTTTTGGTTTATAACTTTTAAGATGATAGAAATTTGAGGTACCAAAATAATTTTTTATGCTTGCCTTCTTTTGTATATATTTAACTAATAGAATAATTTAGTTTGTATGCCATTTATAATATTAATCCATTATAAATATTCTCTATTTCTACTGTTTCTTTTATTAAGAAAACCCGAAGCTATTTTATGTCATCCCTTCCCGGCATATTCTTATAATTAATTCTTCCTTTAATTTCCTCATAGATAGCTTTTATAGCCTGTAAAAATTTATACCCCGCTACGAAT